AACACGAAGTAAGTATGCAAACTTTTGGGGAAACAACACCCAGTGAGAACTGCAAAAAATAAATATGAAAATGTGATCAGTCAATCCTATATGCGCTAAAATCTTTGTCAAAGAATGGGAAACAAATTGTAGTATTTTAAAGGTATAGGGGTTCAGCTTTACTTACTATCGCGTTTTGTCAACAAACTACGACACCATGTGTCTGCTAAACTCTTTCCAGTTTTTGCTCGTCAAAGTCAATGCCTTCCCTATCAATCTGGTAATGCATATTCAAGTTACCGAAAGGAGTTCTTCATGTCCGAACATGCATTATACCCTTGACAGTTTGGGAACTAGAACTGATTTTCATAGTCTTGGAAATTCAAAATTTATTGCCATTCTAGCTTGCACGAATCCTAAAGCATTAGGAATGGAAAGTGGAAAGATCCCAGATTCACGAATAACTGCATCGTCGGAATGGAGTCACTTACACGGCGCAACCAATGCGCGGTTAAATTTCGCTAAAAATTCTGGATCATGGTCGTCAAGATATAATAACCAAAACCAATGGCTGCAGGTTGATTTCAAATTCCGTGCGACTATTACCGATATTTTGACTCAAGGCCGTGGCAGGTACAACCATGGGGGGTACGAAGCTATACGGTTTCATACTCTGATGATGGTCATAGATTCAAACCCTACCAAAGAAGCGGTCATGATAAGGTACATTTATTTTGAATATATTGCCAGGGGCGTGCCGAGCGTGGGAGAGGGGTATGTAAAATAGTACGGAGTTGTCGGTTTTAAAACAAAGGCAGTCGGTAATTTTCGAATTTATAGTACGGGAACAATGGTCGACAGTACATTTATGTTAATTTATACTTCTCCATAAGTAAAATTGTGAGAATTCGTGGAATAGTGGAATTAATCGGCAAATACTGGGCGACACAACACCCCAATTGGAAATACATCAGTACTCCACTGTAAATATTCCAGATACACTATTTTCCTCAGAAGTGAGCAAATTAAGGCCTCGTGCGCCATTATCTGTCACAATTGTGAGAGGATAATTGGTTGGCATGGTCGAGACGATCTCTTTAAAGGGAAATTGTATACGCAATGCACTGATTTTCTTAACTCTGTATGTTTTAGGTATTCTCAGCAAACGTTGACGTTAAAGGCATTGTTAAAAACACACTCCACCCTGTTATCGTCGCTCGTTTCATCCGAATCCATCCTAAAACATGGCAGGATCATATTTCCATGCGAGTTGAATTCAACGGATGCTTTGAAGGTATAAACTTTTGACATGCAATCAATCTTTATTGCTTGATATGTATTGCTTGTTGCTTATACGTACATATATTGGACACATACTATTTTCCAGGCCAACCATGTGCAGCAGAACCATGCCTTCATGACGGAAGTTGTAATAACGTTGGCGGAAAAGCTGTGTGCTCGTGTCTTGCCGGGTATTACGGGAATAGATGTGAACAAAAAGGTACCAAGATGTATAATATTATAGTAATTCTAGTTTCCCACATTCACGGTATTTGGCCATTCACACGAAGTTGTGGTGGTGAAATGGTGATAGTGAGGCCTGCAGCGCATTAAGGGACTGTTTTGGGACGTAAACAAAGGTTCGTCCCAAAAACAGCCACTTGGCCATGATGCATTATTAATATCAATATTACCAGTCCTTTGCTATACGACTTCAGAATAGCTAATTAATTAATTTGGATACACCATGATATATTATTTTCTTCGTTCTTTTAAAAATGGTTATAATAATACAGCTCATTTAAGATTATCGTAGAAATAAACAGGTGTTGTAGGACGAAAATTTGATACCAACTTTATTGTTTTTTAAATCTGGCCGTCTAAGCTTTCAATGAAATTTCCTATACGTATACACAAATCTTCGTCCTGTGAACACTCATGTGAGCCATAGATGATATTTTAAATTATAAGTCAATTTGACGTAATATTCCGACAAAATACGCCACAATTATAGAACTCGCGAGGGAACCTCAAAACAATAAGAATACTTACTATAGCGTATTGGAACATCCGATTCGTATTGGAGAGCAAATATCGATTTAATAGAACGTAAAACCCGTTTCTAGAGGTGCCTAAATCTGCTGCGATATCTTGAGCAGTCTGAAAATAAGAAATGTAATAATTTGAACAATATGGTAAAGCTATAGGGAAAATATCAACAATGATTACAATAATTCTACAAAATTTGTTGGTTTCAGATGCGTACTGAATATTTAGTAAGCCCGCTTATTTAACCTTTTTACATCAGTATGCAAGAATGCAGTACGTCTTGGTGTGGAAAATGGCAAAATATTAGACTCCCAGTTATCAGCTTCGTCAGAATGGAGCGCAAACCACGGGGTAGTGAACGGCAGATTGAACTTCAAGGCTCAAGGACGCCGGGAAGGCGCTTGGTCGGCAAGGTATAATAATGGCCAACAATGGATTCAGGTGAACTTCGGTCTTCAGGCCACTGTGACTGAGATTCTTACCCAAGGGCGCAGCAATGCCTACCAGTGGGTGAGGAGCTATTCCGTGTCTTACAGCAAGGACGGCCTGAATTTCTTCACATATCGCGTAAATGGTCTTGTGAAGGTAAAATTTATTTACCATAGTTTCAGTCTTGATAATTTATGCTGGCCATGCAAAAGAAACTCAATCGTTTTAAAGCATCGCTAAATCGTTTCATTTTGCTAGTTTTATCTCCAATGAATAAATATTAATAAAAAAATGAAAAAAGATATGATAAGAAACGTTTCCTATAACGTCACTAATTTGAAGCAATTTTCACCTGTTACTTTTTTACCCCTTTTGTTCTCGTTAGAACACAGATAAAAAGGAGGCGGTACATGTTTTCAGTCTAGATACACGACGAATACATCAGCCTTCCGACGAAATCAATAGATATAATATACCCCACGATTAGCGATTGCCATGATTTTTTCTCCCTCCCCTTCCCCTTCCCCCTCCCCTCCCCCTCTGCTAGCAATGCAATTAGTTCTACTGTTACTGTGCCAAGGTAATGTACGCGTAAAGGCGAGTGCATCCAGATACCAATTTTTACTCATTATAATATACCTTTTTACCAAGGTTTTCGGTGGAAATAGCAATAGAAACACAATTGTTCGCCAAAGCGTCTCTCCTGTTATTGTTGCTCAATACATCCGCATCCATCCGAAGACTTGGTATAGGCACATATCAATGAGGGTTGGTTTTGCCGGCTGTCTAAAAGGTTCGTGCTTTCTTTGTAAAAATATTACTATAAAACGTACTTTAAACTTAAGAATATAGTTGTGAGGGGTCAGATGGGAGATATAATTACATTTCCTGGTTGGCTAATGGTCATAAGTAGAATCGTCACTACGTCTTTCTGAGGGCATCTTGAAATATCGCTACACGCGTATCATTCAGATCATTACAGTGAATCGTGGGCTGGGTATGAGTAACAGCCGTCCCCCCTTTGTTTACAAGCTTATATAGTTCGTCAAAGGTTGTAGTATAATCAAACGTGAAATTCCTAACTAACTGATCAAGTACTTGATGAAAATGTATATGTTATTTTTTTCTGACTTTTGTAAATCAATTCTACATTTTTACTAAAGATGGATTAATAAATGATTCTTATTATTATACTGAATACCAGTCCTACTACCACTGCTTATTCATTGGTTATTGAAGATGTAACCGGTGCAGATGCTTTTTCATCTTTTAAGTTAACTGAATATTCCATTCCAATAGAGTGGCCTTGTGAGACAAGACCCTGCCGTAACGGTGGTATTTGTTTGGATTACCGTGGGGGTTACCTGTGCTCTTGTGCTAAAGGATGGGCAGGCAAGAACTGCGAAAATAACGTTGGTAAGAAGATGTAATTTGAGTGTGTTTGATGACTTTATTTCGATTTCGTAAACCGCCAAAATTTTTTCCATCATTTCTCCCGTGTTAACACTTAAAACAAATTCGAGCAGCCATTCCCGTTGAAAGGTTCCAAATGATCATGTTATGACACACATAAACACCCCTGTAATCCTACAGGTGTTCCATTTTAATGTACAACTTGAATGTATAAACAATGCAACCATTCAATGTTTTTATCGTAACTTAACAAGCTATATTACACTTCTCGCTTCGACAAACTCTAAAACATCCTTTCGTTTTTCACACCACATGACCTCTAGCTCCAGGCCACCACGAGTTTTACTACACCATGAGTTCCAAATAAAATCAAAAGTGCGGCAACATTCGCCGTAATAGATAAACAGCGATTGTATTGATAAGAAAGGCAAATTTACGAGCCTTGGGCTACGTGCGTACACAGCACTTACCCGGCCCCCATGCGTTACGATGAACAATATCAATAACTAAGATAATATTTGTTGTTTTTCTAGGTGATTGTATACCAAAAAAATAAGCGGAAACTGTCTTATTTCCAGGAAGTGAAAATAGTTAACACAGGGAGATATATGCACACAATAATTATATACAATACAAATACATGTAGTCTTGGAACATTCTTAGGTATCTACACTTGTAGAAGCTGATTCAATAAAGTTGTGATTCTGAAACGTTATATCTGGCAACAACTTAATATCTGTCAGGCACTATCAGTTCATCAGTGATTTGGAACTTTTCATTGATTAGCATTAAAAGTAAATTGTCGTATGTCAAAATTTAATTTTTTTCAATTTTAAAAGTTAGAATTTCCGGAACTGATTTTTTGTTTTTGTAAATAAATTGGTTCATTATATTAGTTACACACTTCCGGCCGTAAAACAAAAGTATACAAAATTCGTAAACTTCGTACGGCTATATTTCCCGAAATTTACCAGAATTTGCAACCAAGCTTGACAAATTTAATACGTTCTTTCCAAAAATGTCCTTTTTATCCCCGGGGTAAGATATTCGGGTGGGTTGCTGGGTGGAAGTGATAACAAATGGAAATAAAAACAACAAAAGTGGTAACACCGTTCAAAAGGTAACAAAAAATGCAATACAAATTCACTTTCGATTTGAGTCCATTTTTGTCCAACTTTTCGTCGTTATCTTACCAACCTTTCTAAGGACTTGAAAATCGTTATCTGCAAATGTTTTTGTCTAATTTTAAAGGCAGTGTTTAACAGTTCAACGGTACGAATGTATTCCATGCAATTTTCCAAATGGATATACTTCCTCGTCGTAATAATTGTGTTTATATTATTTTGTTTGGTCAAAATTTATCGTGTTTTCCCATGGAGAAAGGGTAGTTCCCGTCAACATCCGATTAAAGATTTCTACTTGGAATGGAATGACTATATAAGCGAGGGTGTAGTATACTATAAGGAAATTATTCCTGAAGGTTACGCCAAACTTGATGTACTATTGCTGCATGGTATGAGCTTTAGCTCAAGAAACTGGGTTGAGTTAAATACTATGAATATTTTGGCGTCGCATGGCTATCATGTTATTGCATTGGATTTGCCTGGTTACGGTAAATCTTTACATAAACTTGATACAAGTGATTCAAGTAGAGTGGTATTTTTAGAACAGTTCATTAAGAAGACAAGACTTGTTTCACCTGTAATTGTTTCACCTTCAATGAGTGGTGTCTATAGTTTGACTTATCTTGCTGCATCAAAAGCATCAAGAGCATTCGTTGCTATCGCAGTGGTGGGTACAGAAAAAATTCCTGTGGGAGATTTTCAAAATTTCCCACCAACTTTGATTGTTCAAGGGTCAAGGGATAAAAATCTTGGTGTGACATCAACAAGCATACTGAGCAAGAATGTACCACATAATTCTGTTCAAGTTATCCAAGATGCTGGCCATGCATGTTACATGAACAAACCAGATGAATTTCATACTATGTTGTTAAAATTTTTGAACAATATTGCAAAATCTGAGTCTGGTTAGGCATAGAAGATGTTTGTTTAAAAAGTAAATTAATATAATTTTTTACTTAAAGTAGTAATCATATGGTGCAATAACCAGGGATCAGCAGATAGGTTTCATTCAGTAGTGTAGACAAACACTTTTTACATATTGATTGAATCACTATATCTCTTAAAATATTCTGTTCTGTAAGATTATTTGTTACTATCTCATTTCACTTTATTTCTAAATGAATAAGAGATTGAGACACTAGGAAACCAAATAGGTATATATTTAAACCTTTTTACACACTTTTAACAGTTGATGCATTAACTTTTCTTTGGTCATTGAAGAAGTAGCCATATTATTCCATGTCTTTCAAATTTAGTAATCTGCACCTCACTGAGAAGTGCATCCAAATATTTAATACACCACTTTTGTTTGAATCATTCGAGACTTGTTTTACTTCTTGTGGTGGCTTGCGAAACCAAACTTTGCTCTCTTGAGGTAATAAAACTTACCGACTCAAATACCTGGTGGCAACTGGGGCAGCAAGGAATTAGTTAATAATTGCAACTTATTTGGGTGTTTTATTACTTGTTACTTGTTTTAAATATAAAAATAACTAAAGTATTCTTTAAAGTCTGATGGTCTGTACATAAAGGATTCAATATTGCATACATCTTGGTGGTTAATTCTTGGTCTGTTACTAATGTTAATCATACCAATATGAGCATATAAACCGTCTTGTTGGTGAATAATCTCCCACTCCCTTGTCACACTATTTAACTTTCAAGACCGCCATGTCAATAAAAAAAACAATTTCAGACCCCCCCCCCAAACCCCCCACACTTTTTAGTACAAAGTTTCAAAGAAGCAGTATTGTGATGAGTAGGTAAATTCACATCAGTCATTCATACAGTCATAGTGTAAACTTTCCGAGGGGTAGGTGATTTATGCTTTTAGTAACTTTTTGTACATGATCAGTAATTTAAAGTTTTTAAATCAGTTTAACTTGCTTTATTTATTAATGCACTATCCCTTTTGGTAAGTTCACCAAAATATTGAGGAATTTTGACCGTTACTGTAAATTTTGAAGCATTGCTTTTCCGTGGTTTGGGTTTTGTTTTAAAGAGATTTTCCCCCGGAACAACCGATTTTTTCTTATACGTCGCAACTGCGCATGGGCCGTCGAGTATTATTCACAATGTGAAGAAGCCAGGAGCTCCATAAAAAGAGCTAAGAGAATAGGAAGAAATGACGCTGTGTTGTTTATGTATTGATAATTTGATAGATGTCTTATATATATTATGTCAATAGCAGGCGCGGATCCAGCCGAAAATCTGACCGTATCATATAGGACTAAAAATTTTCCGGTCAGGGGGGGCGAATGTCGAAGGGGTTATTGACCCTCCGAAACAATCCCATTTAAAAAACGATACAAAACCATTTTCAAAATTTTGGGTAAGGTATTTACCGATGTTTCATTTACACTCAACATAACGTGAATTTTGCATACACAAATTATTCACAGACTACAGCGTAAATGCAAATTTGTATCATAGGGCGCTTCCATTAAGCGGCCAAAAAGGTCAGACTGGACCTGACTGATCATATTTTAAATTGAAATAGAGTATTTTGTTAAGAATATAGCGGTGAAACTGCATTTCCCGTGCTAGGCAGATGTAAATAACGATATACTTGAATGCAGAGTTCTTGACTTGAGACACTTTAAAATACCAGTAATCTGTCTGTACCGAAATACAACAGAACCGGTCTGGCCGTTTTTCCGTATAAAGGAGAGCGTCTATTGTTCGATTTAAAACCTAAAAGTCTTACCTTACAAGGACACTAAGTAAAAATTTTCAGTATTTGTCTCTTGGGAAATAGCAGTTTAAAAATTGTCGTTGCAATTGTATAACGCGAGCGAGCGAAGCCTTTCTTTAGTAATAATTCCATCATGTTGTAGCCTGAAGAGCGATATTTCCCCTGAAATATGTTCGCTTAAATTGGCTTTTGAGAAATTTCGACGGATTCATGTATTAATGCATTCGATTCAGCCTGAATCAGCCAGGAGGCAGCGAACAGACCAATTTAACGTGTTAATTATAGCAAGTCGATCCTGATATTCTGCATACAGTACATAAATGATACAATACAAAACCGACATTTTGTGCAGTAATTAAATCATTTTGGCGGTATACAGTATTGATTATGAGTATATTGTTTTGTATCGATTTACGCGTCGTATTTCCACATCATTATAGTACGGTGGCCCATTAGGGACACGCTTCTTCCGTAGAGAATCGAACTTGTTCTGTATTAATTATGTTGTTTCCGCACTAATAGAGTCTAGCTGTAAAAACTCATACAGCTTCCGGCAAAGCGGAAGAGTATTCCCTTAAATACTAAACAACTACCGTAGAAAGGCAGGCGCCTTCCGTAAAACCGTAAATGCTTTCCGTACAAATTTTAACGTCTGTAGAAACTGTTTAGCAAATCCGTAAAAAAAGTGTGCACTTTCTGTTGAAATTATTTGTTCTCTATAAAATCGATGGCCGGATCCGTAGAAATTTTAGCTCTTCCGTAGAAATTTGCGGCCCTTCCGTAGAAATTTGCGGCCCTTCCGTAGAAAATTGAAAACAATGCGCGCGCATAAAACTCGATGTATAACCACAGTGGTATTGAAGACTCATATGGACCGAGATAAATTGACGACAATATGGCAGCTTGTCAGCAATGTTCTGCACGGATTCCTATTCTTAGCAACTTCTGTCCACATTGCGGTCATCAAGTCTCAGGTAAGAAAGTTTTTACAAGTATTTATAGGGTGTATTAAAGAAAATTTAGTGACTGCGTAATTAAAAGTTAAATTTGAGTTGTAAATTTTAACATACATGAACATGAAGTCGTGAACTATTTGCAGAATGCAGATGTATGAAAATCATAAAATGCACTGATAAAATGTCAGTAGGCACTTCAACCCCTGGGGTGTAGAAACTTTGTGCGAAATAATATGAATTTCGACAATTTCCAACCTTTATTCTGTTGCAGAAAGTGAACGTGGGATTATAGAGCATTATTTTCATCTTGGATACAAGTATGATACTATAGTCCGCCTACTTAAGAATAAGCATGACATTCAAATGGATTTACGGACTCTGAAACGAAGACTTAAATCTTACAATTTAAGTAGAAGAAAGGAAACAGTGCCGGAAGATCATATACGAAATATTGTAAGAAATGAGATGCAAGGTTCGGGATGCTTAGCTGGCTACCGGAAGATGTGGTATATACTTAAATTCAAGCATCACCTACATGTACCACGAAAGCTGGTACAAAATATTTTAAAGGAGCTAGATCCCGAGGCAAGTGAACTGAGAAGACAAAAAAAGCTCAAAAGGCGTAGATATTTATCGTGTGGACCCAATCAGTGCTGGCATATTGATGGTATGCATTGTTGCAGTGAATAATTAATACATGTATTTGTTTTTCTAAAGAATTTTTTGTAGCCTATGCAGTGTTTTAATTATTAATTACCATTTTTACAAACATGCAGGATATGATAAGCTGAAACCATTTGGATTCCCAATACATGGTGCAGTGGACGGTTTCAGTAGGAAGGTTCTCTGGCTTGAAGTCACGAGGTCAAATAATTTGCCAGAAGGTGTGGCTACTTTCTACTTTGAAGCTGTTAGACAGAACAAAGGATGCCCTTTACAGACTCGTAGTGATTGTGGAACGGAGAATGGTATAATTGCAGCAGCTCAGTGTTACTTTCGGTCGCATGATAATGGACCATTTTGTGGTGAGCAAGCTCATGTATTTGGTACATCTCCATCAAACCAACGAATTGAGAACTGGTGGTCACATTTCAAGAAAACATGCTCCGGTTGGTGGGTTCAGTTTTTTAAAGATCTTTGTGAGGAAAAACAGCTTAATTTAGATGATGAATTCACAAAAGAATGTTTATGGTTTTGCTTTATTGGTGTGTTGCAAAAGTCCCTTGATGAAACTCAGCTCTACTGGAACACCCACTATATACGACAATCCCGTCATGAAACTGTGGCTGGAGTGCCAGATGTTTTATATGCAATTCCTGAGGAATATGGAGCTTTTGACTGCCGAGTCAGAGTTACACAACAAGATTTGCAAGTAACTGAGGACAATTGTAACTATGATGAATCTTTGAATGATAACATTTTTCAACAGTACTTTCATTATTTAGTGGATTTGCAAAGATTACAATATCCGGAAAATCATGATGAAGCTTCAGAATTATTTTCACAACTTATGACATTTAATGTGTGATTTAAAATTTTTACTATCAGCATGAACAAAAATGAATACAAGCCAGACAAAAACAGGTAATTTACCAGCTGTAGCTGACTATATAACAAGGAATCAGTAAAATGTATTGAACTGTTTAGAAAATGTTATAGAACATTGTGTATAAAAAACATACAAATTTAAACTTGATAGGAAAAACGTTTAATTAAGTGCTAATACCTTTGAAAGGTGATATTTCCTGTCATGTGTTTTCAGAAAATGCAGTTCATTTAAACAAAGCCAAAACCAGCACTTTCTGCAAGAGCTGCATCCATTAATTCTGTAAACTGCTTTGAATCATCAATATGAACAGGGAAGGTTAAGCTAGGGTCACAGGTGGAGGCTGTTGGTCTACATCTACATCCAGCCTCACATCCATGTTTAAATTTGATAGTGATGTGTTTTTCCATGCCAAGTGGAGTAACTGTTTGTGCTCCAGTTATGAACTTGTATAATGCAGACAAGTCATTTCCTTTATAAAGTAAGATAATAAGGTATTAGTATAGGAAATTACATGGTTCTTTGCTTCAACAGTAGGGAACAAGATCTTGGTTGCTACCTTCTCTTGTTTCGACCAATTGAATGTAATCGCAAAAGAACTTGTGAATATTGATTTCCAGCAATTTCTTATTGCTTCCTTCAGGGCTGCCTTCTATTAATAGGTGATCAAGAAGCAGGTCAGATGTGACCAGAAATTTTTTTGCTTCATTTATTGTGACCAATGGTTCCATAACTTTATTGTTTTTGCGTAATTCAGCCAAAACTCCATATGACTCAAGACCTGAGATCAACTGATCGACCATAGTAAGAATTTTAGACACACCTGTAATGACCAGAGATCTAAATGGGTAAAAATCAAATTTGAGTAATTTCTTGTGCAGCATTTTCAAATGACAAGTAATAAATATTACTAGCTAAGAAAGTAGATAATACAAATCATAGATATTGCACTTTCAAATGAGGCACTAGAGGGTTATACCGAATTATCTTGTCACTTGTTTGCATTGTCTCTTTAGAAGGAATTCCACAGTAACCAATAAGTTGCAAAACATCCATTGTTGAGTCTTTGTTCAGAAGGGCAACTAAATCATCATTGCTCACACAAGATTTGATCTGTAAATTAATTTATACATATGAATTATACGTCAGTGTCTCTTATTAACCCATTACCGTACCTTAAATGCACCCAAATGTGCCCTACTTGAGTATTTTACTCTGTCTAATGTCAGATTATTTTACTTTGTCAGTGGAAAAGTACTGCCTGTTAATTGACAATTACCTTTTCAATAGTCGTCTTAATTGATTCATCCTGCAGTTGTCCACTCCAGCTATGTGCTTGTACTCTAGAGATTCCATGCACTATGTAATCATACACCTGTGAAGAAAACAAACAAGCAGCTGGTCCTCCTTGAACAATAGAAGAAGCAATTATTTCGCCAGAAACTTTGAATTCTTCATTAGCAAAAGCTTGCATATTAACCAATGGAAATCCATTTTCATCAAAAAGCTTTCTCTTTATATAGTTCAGTGATTCTATATGAGTAAAGCAATCAAAATTTTCAAATTTATTACTTCTTCAATAATGCAGTACACTAATTAATAGCTGAACACTATCACAAATACACTTGCTGTTTTTCATGGAAACAGAACACAAGCATTTGTTTTTCAGAAAAATAGATTCATTCGAAAATGAATGACCGGCTTTCATTTAGGAGAATCAATTTTGCAGTTACCTGTAAAAAATTCACGCCTTGGACCACCGGTATCTATGGCGGGTTCTCCTGCAAACAATACTTTCAGAACACCTTCTGACTTAAAATATTTCTTTAGGCGTGCATCCATATAATCTTGGAATGCATATCGTCTTCGAATGGTTATTCTATTGACTGCTGAGATCTTCACATTGGTTTTTAATTTCTCAACAACTTTTTGCATAGTTTCTAATGATTCAACAATTACAATTTCGTCACTCAATGTACTGTCCTCCATTCCCTGAAATTCACAATCATGCTGATCAGGGATTTCTACTTCTACTGTTGTGGAACATTCTCCAACAGTATCAACCCAGTTTTCTGCGCAAAGATCCGCATGAGTTTCAATTTCATCACGAGGAAAATTCATTAGACATGTTGGACACTGATGGCGTGTGACCAAGTATTTTTCAATGCTCCCTGTTTTTGGCTGAGATGAATGTGGGGATGAATGTTGATTGTCTGACAATAAGGAAGAAGCATTTTTAATCAACGTTGTAGCATACATTGGTGATGGGAACTCCTCAGTGGTTTGGGCTGGGTAACCAATATTAAAGCTGGATGCACTAAGCATATGCTCGTCATCTGAATCATTGTCTTCATTACTACCGGAACAATGTTCATAATCATCTGCTGGGCAGAGCCAAAAGTAAATCTTGGAGTATGATTTTAATAAATCACGTTTGTATTCTCCAAGGGTGAAAGGTGTGCTAGTGCCTGGTAAATCTTTAACAAGAGTCATATCTTGGTAAAGAATGACGTACGTTTTGTCCTTGTCAAATTGCTTGAAGTGCCTTGCATGCTTCTCCACTGCCTTTAGGAGCAATGTATTGGCATCATCATCTTCATTAAATAATACAGGAATTGTTCTTCCTTTAATTTTCTTTAATCTTTCATCTTCAGCACATTCATTGACTAATCCAACTTGCACTTTTACCTCTTGGGCTATTTTTGCTTTTTTAGTGGTATCTTTGATATTTCCCTTTTTTGTTTTGGAGGTAGTAAATCTGGAACACCTATCTTGCTCTTTTCGTTTGCGAAATTCCTGAAAAGTCATTGGCTGGCAAGATGAGCTGCTTTCTTGAAGGCATCTGTTGCCATCATTAACATTGGTCAAGTTCTGACTATTCTGTTTATGTGATTCTAAAGTTAATAGTTCTTTGGTTTAGTAAAATTTCAGCAAAAAATTATTTTTATGATTTTTGAGATTTGCCAAATTGTCAACAGCAGTATATTCATTAATTCTTCTGTTACACATTGTTTATGCGACTGACATTATTAAACGTTCTAACTTCCGGTCAATTACATTGGATGGGACATCTCAAAATTAGTATAAATAAACATTAGGAATTTTGGTTCCGAAAGATTAAAAAAATGTAAATATCGCCGTGTCAAGATTTCCAAATTTTGTATAAATTAGCGCTACGCGTGCAAAAGCCTTACAACATTTTCTAAAAACGTAGACCTTTTTCGCAAGTACAGTAATACTATTACTATTATAAGTATTAATATTTATACGACGATACTTTTCACACTTTTCAATATATTATACTTGTATGAAACACACAGAATATCACATACCTTTCTTGGTTAGCGAGAGGCCACAATTGTGGCAGAAATTCCCTTCTACTACTATTTTCGCTCCGCATTCTTGGCAAAACATCACTAGTGAACTGTTTCGTACCACTGTGTTTTCGTACTTTCGTTTCACACAGGACTGTTTCCAGGCAGCCGATCGCGTTCGATCGCGTTGATCGCGAGGTGGGTTGAAGTGATCGCGTTTCTACTTCAAGTAATACAAACCATCGAGTTTTATGCGCGCGCATTGTTTTCAATTTTTTACGGAAGGGCCGCAAATCTCTACGGAAGGGCCGCAAATTTCTACGGAAGAGCTAAAATTTCTACGGATCCGGCCATCGATTTTATAGAGAACAAATAATTTCAACAGAAAGTGCACACTTTTTTTACGGATTTGCTAAACAGTTTCTACAGACGTTAAAATTTGTACGGAAAGCATTTACGGTTTTACGGAAGGCGCCTGCCTTTCTACGGTAGTTGTTTAGTATTTAAGGGAATACTCTTCCGCTTTGCCGGAAGCTGTATGAGTTTTTACAGCTAGACTCTATTAGTGCGGAAACAACATAATTAATACAGAACAAGTTCGATTCTCTACGGAAGAAGCGTGTCCCTAATGGGCCACCTTTACGAAATCCTTTACTTCGAAAATAATACACAACAGGATCTATAATTGTATTTAGAAGAACCAAGGGGGCGCTAAAACTGAATGCACGATGAAACTTAGCAGGATTTTCTTCCCTATCAATGACTATAAATAGTGCCGTTATTGGCAACAGACATGCTCCAAGACTCCCAGCGATGAGAAACAGCGTACGTAACGTTTTGAACTCATGCAAGGCTGCCTGAAGTTCACCGGTTACGGCAAACGCCTGCTGTTTCACACGTTTCGCGTGTTCTCTGCCTAATTTGTACATATACACGCACAATGCAATTGATGTTAGAACGTAGAATACGACGATGTACTGTGCAACACTCACATTTGGTACCAAATCGGAGATTAAACTCGCTGCAGTCTTGACAGCGACGAGGAGAGCGACAAACCAAATAGCGCCAACCATAGTTACGGCTCGTTTGAAGGTCACAATGGTGGGATACCTCAAAGCTTTTACTGTGGAGATGAAGCGATTCAGGGTTAAGAGGAATACGCTTCCAGTAGTCGCCAAGCCAAAAAACTTGCCTACTACGAGGGAGGCATCAAATGCAAAGTGATATATGTTGTAAATCATAAGAGGAGCAGCCACGCAGTCTATCATGGTATCTGAAACGGCTAGGCTCAAAACAAATAAATTCGCCGGAATCTCTGCGAAGCCGTCCGTCAATGTAATAGAGGATATCAGGAGAAGATTTAACACGAACCCGAGCAGTCCGAATATTAGCACAACAGCAAAAATGCAGATAGTTTCTTCTTCACTTAAATCAAGGCACAGCATTTTCTTGGCTCGAAATGGATTGACTGGTAATTCAAATGCTCCAAAATTTCTTCCTTTTGGACCTGGCTTATCTTAAATATTTTTTCGTCCTTACTCACTGGGAGATAATCAGTAGCTACTATTTCCGAAGTGCTCCAAACTGCTTCAAGACTTATATAACGCCCCAGGTGATGATTTATACATGATAAATGCAATTTGATCCTGGGCTTATTAATGTGTTCATTTAAAATAAATGAGAATTTAGCAGATGTTCTTTTGATGGCCATACAATGACTTTAGCAACGAGCTGTTGTATCAGGCCGCTGCATGAGATCAAAGTTTCAAATGAAGTTAATGTGATAAAGTAATGCAAAACCGGACATGTACTTATGGGAGATTTTTTACTCGTAAGAGTGATTCTCACATGATAACAACTGATCACTAACTAAACTATAGTGGATGAATATCCCTCATACTAGCCTTCAGACCAAATGTTTGAGCCATTTTTACTAAATTATCAGTTTTACGATTTTAGTCGGTTGATTAAAGGCCGACCCACACCGGACGCGATCCGCCTACGCGACGCGAGTTTTTCAGTTTTAGGACTGAATTTTCTAATTTTGACAATGTTATTTTATTCTTGGTAATTGCTGATCGATAGTACATTTTGACTCGTCTGGTACCCATATCTCTCAAAATGCTCTTTCAGAATAATATAATTTATTGGCTTCTGAAAATGAAAAATTCGCGTCGCCTTGGAGAATCGCGTCAAGTGCGTGTTGGCCTGAATTCCTTGCGTGCGCGATATGTCGTTTTTAAACGATTTTCTCGGCTGACTGCAAACGGACAATAGTTGAAACTGTTTGATATTTACCGATTAAGTTCGGCCGACAAAAATTGTTCGATAATAGTCGCGTCGTGTGCGCCGTGTATCCAGTATAAATTTCAAGATATGCTTTTCTGTTGAGTTGAAAAGGCATTAGAGATTCTTTTTCCTAAATTTTTGCGTGGGGAAGGATACGATGTAACAATATCATGATTTATTATGCGAAAAAAACGCTTCTCCTAGCGCTACTAATTTATTTGTGGCATCTTAGTCGCGCCGTCGAATGGAATTCAAATAACACATAATGAACGAGAAACTTAATTTTAAATTAAACATTAATTTTAGCATCATCTTCTATTATTTCTTCTGTTATAATCTTTTTTAATTACTACAGTTTTGGCAATGCCGACTACTTTCAATGACAAAAGACATTCATTACAGGCAAATTAAGTTGCGCTCGCTTTATTTAACCCTTAATATAAAAAAATATATATGCATGTACATATATAGTATATATATATGCAAAATATATATATACATATATATATCTATTTATATAAATTCTTTAAGCGTATAGCACATCGATAAATGAGGCTACACACAGTACTTGCATGCATGCATGCATATCATATATGGATATGTTATCTTTCACGCCGACTATATAATGAGGCGTTATTGTATCGTTATAATGTATAGTTTGCATGTATGCATCTGTTTCTTGCACCTTTATCTTGGCATTAAAACAAAAACCCGTTACTCAACTGAACGAGCGTAAATACTCCAACGTTGCAAAATGAATAAAATATAAAGAACCGTTTATTTTATTTTGGATTTCAATACGAACCACCTGTAAAATCTGCTTTAGTCAACCAGGTACATTTAATTCCAAAGGAGGTTGTATATATTATATATATATATATATATATATATAATATAATATATATATATATATATATATATATTATATATATATATATATATATATATATTCATATATATAATATATTATATATATATATATATTCAATGAAAAGTTAAATTTCCAATGCCTTTTAAGATTAATAGAAAAATCTGGAGGTAAAGAAATGGAAGTCTCTCACACTTGACTTTTTGCTATCATATATATGTTTGGCTTAATAATTGCGACAAATTAAAACGTCCTCATTATTCATCGCATATAATAATGTTCAGATTCCGGTTCCATTCCTAAATTGTCTTTTACTCTCATTTAACATTAATGAAATAACGTTCCAGTTTCTCACTTGAGCAAAATAAATCATCCCTGAAGGCGTAGATATAGTGTGGCACCTGTAAGAATCACTGAATAAGAACGGACAATTTTACATTCTTAGCTATAACATGATCGATTGATTGTTTTAAATCTAAATTGAGCCATGCTCGAGTTGAAAATGGCAAACAGGAAATGTTTACTCATCGCCGTCGGATGGGGCACACTGATTGGCTGTCTGACGTTTGGATGAAAAACATACAATGACCTGTCATTACGCTTTCATTATGCATGTTGCCTGCGTCGCTATAGATAAAAGGTGTAACACTGAATTTAAAGTGGTTTCTATATAATTTATTTTCTAAATCTGAAAAAATGTTCAACAGCACTCTTAGTGAAGAAACCTATTTGCTTGTAGAAAGTAATGGCCTATGCACGAACTGCATGCGCACAAAAATATTTTACTCTACAAAAGAGCTAAATTATAATAATTAATATACAAAGACGTTCGTATCGAAAACAAATGTGCCAAACAATAGGTCTGATCGATATTCTTTTTTGCATCGCGTTCGGGTGAAAAGTTTTTTATGCTCCACTTCTATTTAAGTGATGATGAAATAGAAACTATCTGCATTATTTGCTGTTGTGGTGATTGATATTTGGATTCGTGGGGCTCGTGTTTATTCTCTTCTTGATGTTGCCAATTATTTTTACCGACGGCTTTGCAGACCGCCCGGCAAAATTATTTGTTTTGAGCCTATATATCAGTTGAAGACATCTTGTTGGACTGGGTGGCAGCTCGACTTATGATTTAGTACAACATGCATTGCATAACAACTCGCTTAATGTTTCTTTTTTACGGCAGCTGGGTTTTTCCTTGAGGCTTAACGACCACTGGATGCGTATTCCTTTAGAATATGAACCGTTTTCTCTTCATAGTAAACGCTTAAAGTATCTCAGTATTATCACAGACGTCACTTCGAAGCGTGCTTTAGCCGGCTATGGTCGGAGTTATATGGTTTGTCGCCTTCGTGGTCCTCATCCAGAGCGTATCGAGCTTCACGATCGATGTGGTACCCGTTTTAAAGGGATAGCAATTTATTGTTGGAATTTTACGTCTGGCGTCAATTGCTTTGTTTCTGTACATGTAAAAAGAACTAAAAGAACTAAAACTAGAATTAAAAATTGTAAATAAATTCCTGCGAGTGAATACGCGTCCTGTTACTACCTTCTCCAATTAAGTCATATCTATATATATAGGGTAGTCTTCAGCCTTCAGAGGCCGGTTGTTTAAAAGCCGGTTATAGCTTAACCCTGGGTTGAAGCAAATCTTTACATTCATTTTTTAATCGCTTGCTCACAAAGTTAAAAATCTTTTTCATAAATATTTTCTGAACCGATAGAAGTAATATTTTCTAAAGAAGCACATACTGGATTAAACTAATTGAAACTGAAACAATGGATTAAAATTTAACCCATGCAGGGATACCGTAACCTAGCTTTAAGCAACTGGCCCATGATACTTATAGTGCATGTTCGTTTTTTTTAAGGGCTATTTCTTGCCTTTCAAGTCAATTTTTTCCTGGTGATTTATAACTGTTGCGTTTTGGAAGGCTGCGGCCATGCAATGTGGAAGATTTTTCTGTAGAAACTTTGAGTGCTTCGTGACCTCTGTTGCGAGGAGAAACGCCAGCTGCCCATGCAGCGGCCGAGTAAAACCGTATCTCATGCAGAGCGCTACTTCACCTTCAACAACAAAACGGGGACATTCGTCTCATAAAAAGCACAAAGACTCGTGAGCCAGAATCAGTCTTAGTTCTCTCAAGGTTCTGCCAACCCTGCCGATCTACATTTGGAAAGAAATTCTTTCCTAAAAGAGCTGAAGTTTTCGAAAGAGCTCCGAATTCGTTAGTAGGACAGGCTCGTAACCGTGGCAACAACAAAAACAAGCGTTTCTAGCCCGGAAAAGGTTCGGACTTCAGTACTCGCTCTTGGGGCCGGAGGTACTCAGCACTCATACCGGCGGGGGAAAGAGACACAGTTCGTGCAGCGAACAAAATCTATAATACGTCCAAAAACGGTCTACAAGATTGAAACATGCTTACAGCTCATGCAGTAACTATTAGAACACCTTGGTTTTGCGATGAACCTCGAGAAATCGTGTTTCCAACCAACACCACAAATTGCTTGGGGTATGATTTTGTTCCTGCCAGATTGCAAGGTAACATCAATCAGGGAGTTTTGCTCCACCCTTTTTTTGCAGCGAAATGTTTCAGTAAAGCCTTGCTTCCTCGAGCGAAATTTTCAAGCGAAATGCGAAATGTTTCGCCTGTTTCTTTTGAATTGTGAGCAATCAAGCAGAATTAATTTTTTCAAATGGTCACAATCCAAACGAAATAGGCGAAATATTTCGCATTTAATTTGGCCAAGAAAAAGCGTCCGTGGAATCGGGCCCTAAGGGAGTTATCCCTGTTGATAGTCGCCCCTTGCATTATCGCCACTTGCAACGCTTTTGGAGGCTTGGAACGGTCGGTCGCGCTTCTTCCCGCTCGCTGCGCTCACTCGTCAATCTCATTTCCCGAGCCCGCGATTCCTCAACAAAGGCTCTGGAATAATCCAAACCGGAAGCCAGAAATCCTGGCTTCAGGTTTGTAACGCTTTTCTATATTTCGAAATTGAAACGTTGTGGACGACCAATCAGAATCATTTCTGATTTCGACTATCCCAGAGCCCAGAGACTTTGCTTTCTCGCCAGAGGAATTGCGGCCTCGTGGAACAAGATCGCTCAGTCGTGCATGAGATATTATTTCTGCCACTCGAACATATATAAAATCAATATCTAATTGCAGCCATATATATGTAATATCCTACATAAAATTATCTACATTGCAACCGCGTGTAATATCCTATAGTTGGTTTATATATAGATCTACGCCACTGCCGGATTTGGTGTGTTTTGTAACACTGTATAAATACCTAAATGTGACCTTCCACGGGAAAACATACGTTAACGCTATTTCGTTCGTTCGAAAATATCGTTCGTTATCCGTTCGTTTGCCGTTCAAACGCTTCA